ATGTCGATCGGGTAAAATATAATTCCCGTCCCCAGAGAAGTTATAACGTACCGGTATTTTACCACTTCTCCCCAACCTCCCCATTTCTTTTGCTGGAGTCGCCAGCACTCCCTGCCGGGCCCACTCCTTGCCCCTCATCGCCAGCACTGCCCACGCAGCCCGCGCCACCCGCTTCTTCTGACTACGAGATGCTTTATATGTGTTATTTGATGTGACTGACTGTGGTTGATGCTTGCGATACTGGTAGCCTGATTCTTCTGGTGAGTCGTCAGACGTGCCCTCAACGGATCGCCGCCACGTGGCGTCTGGTACGGACTCGGAGGTTTCCACGGACATGGCGAAGCTGTCGCCCAGGCTCTCGCCGAATTCGCGGCTGCTGACAACAATGTAGTTACAGTCGACGAGACCGTTGCGGGCCACTCAGGCGTTATGAGCATGTCGTCCCGGCATCAGCGGGAGATGATCACACGTTTTCCGGAGCTTTTGTCGGTGGATTGCACGCACAAGACCAATCGGTACGTTCATCCGTGTATTGTCCATGATTCTTGCATGCATTACCTAATACTTGTCCAAGTATTATCCATTGTTATCCAGGTCTAGTCCGATACTGACTTGGTTTTGGTATCTGTGTTGCTAGGTACAACTACCAATTGTCCACCCTAATGGCGATCGATGACAAGGGTCGGGGCCAGCCTGTCCAGCATTCGTTACTCGAACGAAATGCCGACTGGCGTATGTCGCGTGCTTTGGATCACTTGTTCCGGATGGATCCTGATATTGGAGAGAAAGTGCAGGTTCTTATGGTCGAGTGAATGAAATCCGTGTGCTGCGCACCTACTTTCCCAAGGCCCGCATTCTGATATGTTCATTCCACGTGATCAAGTACCTACGCGCACGGCCTCGCGGAAGCCTGAGTACGACAAGCTGTCGTCCGACGACCATGACGCGATTAACACACTGGTACACAACATGCTGTACGCCATGAGTGAGGAAATCTACGATACCAATTGGGCTTCCATGAAGACCCAGAACTGGGTTCACCTTATTTTACGAGTACCTTTTCATGTCAGTGAGTTCAAGCCTGGAGAATTGAAACGAAAGTCTCTTAATGCTGCCGTCAAATACAAGGAGGCACTCAGTGCAACGCAGGCCATATGTAGCGAGCTGGCATATATCGACAATGGTGTCAAGTTCCATGAGCTTCTGGAGTTCGTCCTCGAGCAGAGGATGAATGTCCGGCAAAGAAAGCGATTGAAGTGTGGATCAAAGACCGTTCCTATGAAGCGTGGACGCTCTGATAGCGATGTGGAAGCTGTAGGGGCTCCATCAACCCAGCGGCGCGACGACAATGATGCTGGGGACAACGGTTTTCGAATTTATCTCAACCCAAGGCTGCCAAGCGTAGACGGCCTCGCTCCAACTTGAAGGAGCGGAAGGCCGACGACAAGAAGAAGCGGGCCATATTCAATGAATCGGAAGCACATCGTCGAGAAGTGGGACAGGTTTCCCTTGCCCAACTGGCCCTGGACCATCTTTAAGGCCCTGGTTCGAGTGGCGGAGCAGCAAACGCCAAGCGTGGCATTGACGGAGGTTAGAGGAGAAACGAGTTGTCCAAGTGTGGCCGGAGAGCGGGTCTTCTCTATGCTGCGTCCTGTCCAAGTGAGCCCTCCACCACACCTCAATCAAGCTGTACCAACCGACAGTTTAACCCGGCCTTTTAAAGAGCTGCTGTATCTCATTTTGGCATTCAGATGGAGGGGTCGAACAACGTCCACAGTTGCAATCTGCACTGTTGCCACAGCTGAAGCGCGTGAAGCGTCCAGGGTAGAGCTTAATGAGAAGAAACCCACCGTCGCCAGCCCTTCCTGAAGAAGACGAAGACGGGCAATCGGTTCAAGTGATTAATGCGAAACGCTTAGCTATCGGGCACTCACTATTGGCAGCAGGCTTCATTATGTAGGCATCTTGTACCTCTCGATACATGCGTATGAATTACTCGCGGTCACACCTTAGTTTCTTATGAAACCAATCAGCACTTAGAGAACGTATCGCATCCTCAAATGTGGTAGTGCTGAACGTTGAGGCGGCCGTAGGTGGGCGTCGGCAGGTTCGTTTGTCCATTGTAGAAACAGTGAGTGCTACAGCACATGCACTTAGCGTAATGGCCGCCACACCTACGGCTTCAGGATCCATTCTTGCACCAACGATAGTCTTTAAATGAGTGGAGACAAAGTGATTCTCTTCAAAATATTTGTTCTGTAGTCAGAACACCTCTGTTCTCCTAGTCTGAAACACAGTGCTCCAGAATGCGAAAGGTGTAAAATGGAACATTGTACCTAACTAATACCGTACTAGCACGGTGAAGCTCTGGATTTTACATATAAGTACACGACATGTACCAGAAACTTTAGATTTTTATGTTTATCTATACCATTTTTTTAAAAGTTGTACATGCATTAATACCTTTGTTTTACTAATACTTAAATTTTAAACTTAAAGGTTTTACGTGTAATTCCAAATGCATCTTGACATATAAAAAAGTAAGTTGGTCAAAACCTAGTAAGATTACAACTTGTTGGGTTAGTGG